GGGATGTTTGCTGCGAGGGGGCCATCAAGAGACAAGAATCTGGGATCCATCGTTGACAAAGACTGGGTAAAGATGGGTCAAGTCAAACAGAATACTCTCCGGTGAACTAACGTGTTAATTGTAAACCTTTTTTGCGTCCACTAACATGGCAATTGTAAACGATTCCAGGCCAGAAATCCCCAAAATGCACCTAGCAATAGGAAACGCTTTTTACATCAGGGAATGACATTCAAATTTAAAGTGAAAAACACCCCAAGTAACAGCCTAACATAGCAATTGCCGAAAGCCAAATACCCACTGAAAACACCAGAAGGAAGACCCTAACATAGCAACTGAAACACTTTTTCCAAAATAAGGTTACCTAAATTTACTTAAACCTACCCCGCCTAACATGGCAACTGAGAAGCTTTGTTTCCTCAAGGCCCATAAAACAGTATCCAGGAATCCACGTTACCTGGTAAACTAACATAGCAATTGAAAATTGCAGTTTATAGTGGGTTTTCCTATTAAAAATAGTGATTTTCCATTGCTATGTTAGTTTACCAGCATCAAGCCCAGCCACTCTCGCCTGTCAGCCCTCTGTTTGATCCTTGCTCATCATTAATTACCCCGCTGGTAAACTAACATAGCAATTGAAAATTGCCACTTATAGTGACGTTTCCCATAAAACATGGCGATTTTCAATAGCTATGTTAGTTTACCAGAGGGGTAGTGCGCAGAGTGGACCAGCCCCCCTCCGGCCCAACATTTTTTTGAAAGCTAGTGCTCATGACGGTCTCTGTTGCACGCGGAGATGCTGTTCTGTTCATGACGGACCTACACTAACATGGCAACCATGAAGCTATGAGATCGAATATATATATATATATAAATAAATAAATATATATATATAGAAAATGCATGAAATTGATACCAAATTTCAAAGCTTAACGTTGGCCCAAAGCAGGTCCATCACATGGCTGGCTGTTCCACCCTGCCCACCCCAATGAGCAGGATCAGCCATCAGCTCCCCAGCAATACTAGTATAGCACGCAAGAGCCTCCAAGCAGCCACACTAACATAGCAAGACAACACAATGGAATTGAAACTCTTTGGTTACCCTCTGGTGAATTAACATAGCAATTGAACATGGCCATAGAAATAGTGGATTTTCCCATAAAAATGGTGATTTTCCATTGCTATGTTAGTTCACCAGAGGGTACCGGCATTCGTTTTCTGAAATGCTTCTCTAGCATCTCAATCGGCCAGTGCAGGTTTCTACAACAAGAATGCCAAATTAGATTGATATGGCACTGTGGACTTCTTCATTGCAAGTCTTGGAGGACAAATGCCAAGTAGTTTCAATCTGGCAAAGCCAATCTTCGCACGAAAGCGCAAGAGCCTCCAAGCAGCCACACTAACATAGCAAGACAACACACTGGAATTGAAACTCTTTGGTTACCCTCTGGTGAATTAACACAGCAATTGAACATGGCCATAGAAATAGTGGATTTTCCCATTAAAAAATGGTGATTGTCCATTGCTATGTTAGTTCACCAGAGGGTACCGGTATTTGTTTTCTGAAATGCTTTTCTAGCATCTCAATCGGCCAGCGCAGGTTCTACAACGAGAATGCCAAATTAAATTAATATGGCACTGTGGGCTTCTTCATTGCAAGTCTTGGAGGACAAATGCCAAGTAGTTTCAATCTGGCAAAGCCAATCTTCTTACGAAAGCTGGGCCACAAACTCTTTTGGCTTGTTGCCCCGAGGCGGTGTGACGGTGAAACCCAGGTTGACCATCAAAACATCTCTGCTTCCCCTGTGGTCAGCCAACATACCATCTGGTAAACTAACATAGCAATTGAAAATTGCAATGTATAGTGGATTTTCTCATTTAAAAATAGTGATTTTCCATTGCTATGTTAGTTTACCATAGGGTAGCAACACACAATGGACAGTGTGAATATAAACAAACAGGATCACAGCGGTCTACATACAATGGGTTTGCCATTGCCATGTTAGACTTCCAAACAGCATGTCAGTTACGAACGAATAAACAACATTAAAACATTAATATCATTTGATATGTAGACAGGCCAGCAAACATGGCAACTGGGGAACAAGGGAGCCGAAACTTTAAGAGGTAGCATTCATTTACATACAGTAGTTGCTATGTTAAGCAAATCCAATGTGGCTTAGTTCTTGGGTTTGACCGCCTGGATCTTTTTGTTGATCGATGCAATCTGAGTCGTGGCAGTGTCTTTTTCACAGCCAGGCTCAGCCAAATACCATGACCACAATTGTTTCAAAGCTAACAAAAGGGCCAAGGTCTCGCTTCGCTTCTCTCCCCATTTCGGCGCAAAATTAAGTTTGCGAATGGTGCATCTTGCGTGCCATTGCTGACTTGAGCTGTGATGGCTCAACTTCAATGAGATTGAGTCTGGCATCACGGCCAGGCCCTCACTTTCCAAGGCGCAGAATGCATCACGTGTGAAAAAGCATGGTGGTACATGCATCTTTCCTTGTTTGTTCTTGGCGCTCTCTACTTTCTGATCGTCATCATCACTGACATCACAAGTATCGAACTCCTTCTCATCAAACTCGCTATCTTGGTCATCGGCATCATCATCGTCATCAAGCAAAACAACTTGAAATCCCGGAATAGCCGCACAGGTGTCTTCACCTGCAGCTGGGGCAGGGGCTGGGTCAGCATACTCGATTGCCTGCAGCTCTGCATGTCCTGGCTACAAGACAAGGAACATGGCATAGAAAAAATACTAACATGGCAACCGCACACAGTTGAATGGTGAAAACATTGAATTCTAGAAATATTGTTACCGTACGCTACGATACAATTCATGAGAAAAGTCTAAACTCATGCACAATGGCCAGGTTACGGTAGACTTGTTGAAAACACATCTCCTTCCAGGCCAAGTTCGTCCCCGGGAACCGTCTCGAGGGATTCCGCCTCAGAAACATCGCCACCATCCTCGATCTCTGGCTCCTCCTCGAAGTCATAGCCAGCAAGCAAAACAGAAAGTGATGCTTCGGGCTTGTCGCAAGGAAGCTCCCAGCAACGGACGGGCGCAGCTGGGGAAGAAGAAGTCAATTTCAAAGAAAATGCAGCCTGTGAAGATTTTGTAGCACTTGTGAGAGTAACCTCCATGGTCATGATCCAGGGCTGCACCTTCTTCCCTGCCTTCACCTGGGGGACCCCTTCTTGATTTGTGGTGACGTTTCTGCTCACCCACTCCTGGGTAGCCATCTGACTAGTGCGTCGATTCATAATGATGTACCTTTTCTTTTGCTTCAAGCTGAGATAGTGTCTTTCTGCCTTTCTTGTTGCGTCTTTTGTTCTGCCGATATCTGTTTCCAGGTGGCTGTTTAGAATTGTCTTGGCATCTTGCAGCTCCTTCCAGTGCGAGGACAATGTTCGAACAAAAGCAGCGGCGATCTCATATGGCATGCTTTGCCATTGCTTCGTGCTTGGGTCCTGCTTGTTGATTTTACGCCCACCATGAACACCAACAACTAACATGGCAATGGACACCAATATCTGAAGAATGAGTAGTCTATACAAATAAGAATGGGTATGGTATGGTATGAATCAATCCTATTCCTGAAGTGATTGTGTTCCAAGCCTCAACGGTTGAAATCAATATGAAAAGCCAATTGCCAAGTTAGCAGCTTCAAAACATATCGGTCCTGGAGTTGCCATTCATACTTGGTGCATCTTTGGGGCGACCAATGGCCACGACCACAGCATGAAAATGCATCGGCCAACACATTCGCTGCAGTGGACTGGGTGTGAGCAGTCACATCGACCTTATCATCAAACTGGGCCATGTGAGCATAGTCAAAGTAACCGCAAGCAACCCAAGCAGCCTGGAAAACTCCCCGATCGAGATTGCGCCAAGCCCTCAGGGTCAAATCCAAAACTTCTTTGTAGGATCGAACCTCTTGCCTGACTTGGCCGCACGCCCTCAAATCTTTCTCTTCAAATCCTGGAAGGACAAAAAACATTGAACGCATAATTGCTATGTTAGTCTTTTCTTGGACAAACTAAAACACTATTTTTCATTGATACTTTGCGGAATCGCTGAACAGACAACCCCATGGAACAGCACTTAGTTGCCAGGTTAGGTGTTGTTGTTGCAAGGTCAACAGTCAACAGTACAACCAAAGTAAAAAAGTGGAGGTTAGTAAGGGTTTCCAAGTGTAAAGCTGAAGGTTACCATAGCCAAGCAGCTGCTGCGAGTCCGGAGGTTTGAATGCATGCCTAAGCTTGAAATATCTTCCGAGCGAATCTTCTTTCTGAACTGGGAGTGTAATTGGTCGACTGGCTGGCCGTGTGCTGACCAGCCTCCTGAAAATTTTTCAGGAGGCTGGATGTTGTGGAGTTCATAGAAGGCGCTTCGTCTGAAACCCTCGCCCTTTCCAGTCGCATAGGTGCCACTCCAGGCATCACAAATGATACCGGCTTTGGTGTCTGAACCAACCTTGTGCCTCCCAAGATGAACGTTCAATTGAATCAAGAGCGTGATTGCCATGTTAGTGCTGATGTTCAAAAGGATTCACACGAGCAGCTAGAACAAATGAGCCCCGACCGATGATAACGTCAATCATTTCGATTTGGTTTCACAAAGAATAATCTCAAAAAAGTGCAACATGCTATGTTAGTTAGAGCCGCTATATCTCTTGCATTAGGTTTCTTAGTTTGTATCGGAACACCCAACCTGCCACGTTGTTGCTCAAGTGCTGGAGACAGGAGCTGCTCGTACACTTGCAACAATGTGTCAGAACACATGAAATGGGTGTTGGAGCCAGATGTCAGAACCATGGCCTCACCACTGTGTTCCGAATTGAAGGATACGATTTCATCCGGTTTCATGGCGCCCTCGGGCACCGTGAATGCAATCGGTCCACAGACCCGTCTGACCATGAGCTCGTCAATACCTGAGCCACAGCCCCAAACAGTCAACCAACTTGTACCCAGACCCAGAAATGAAAGTAACCATTGAGCATCAGCCATTGCTATGTTAATTACTCGTCAATACCTGAGCCCCAGCCCCAAACAGTCAACAAACTTGTACCCAAACCCAGAAATGAAAAGTAACCATTGAGCATCAGCAATTGCTATGTTAATTAATTACCCGTCAATACCTGAGCCCCAGCCCCAAACAGTCAACAAACTTGTACCCAGACCCAGACATGAAAAGTAACCGTTGAGCATCAGCAATTGCTATGTTAGTTAATTACTCGTCAATACCTGAGCCCCAGCCCCAAACAGTCAACAAACTTGTACCCAGACCCAGACATGAAAAGTAACCGTTGAGCATCAGCAATTGCTATGTTAGTTAATTACTCGTCAATACCTGAGCCCCAGCCCCAAACAGTCAACAAACTTGTACCCAGACCCAGACATGAAAAGTAACCGTTGAGCATCAGCAATTGCTATGTTAGTTAATTACTCGTCAATACCTGAGCCCCAGCCCCAAACAGTCAACAAACTTGTACCCAGACCCAGAAATGAAAAGTAACCGTTGAGCATCAGCCATTGCTATGTTAGTTACATGCATCGTATGTACAAGATTGAAACAGGTCACTGTAATGGATCTGCGGGCCCCCTTGACTGAATGAAGCTTCTTCTCGGTCCTCTTTGGGGCTTTGCGCCTCGCAACTCGCTGTCCTGCATGTTCTCTGGCTTTGTAGAGGAGCTTTCCGCCGAACTGCCACGACGCTCGCCAGAGCTGGTCAAAATTAATGATGAGCCCCGGGTGGATGTTGTCCTCAGCAGTCATTTTGGCGACCTTGGCCCTCGCCTGGACCATGTCATAGTGGTCGTATGGAAGTGATGCTTGTGCATCACTTTGGCGAGATAAGAGGCTCCAGCCCCAACTGCGTAAAAACCATTTGCTCCACTGCAACCCTGGCGATCTCAAAAATTGCGGCACAGGCTGCCATCCAATCAGAAACTGCTTCGGGTCAATCTCCTTGGCATCAAGTTTTGCTTTGAGTTGCTGGTTGGCTTCTTCGATGATGATCTTGTTCTGTTCGAGTGATGCATTCCAATCGGTGATCAAGCTTGAAACTGTCTGATCCTCAGAACACGCGAAATCCAGATCCAAACAAACCCCTGTACAGTACAAATTGCCATGTTAAGGATGTTTCCTTCTTTAACCAGTGGAAGCTTTATGATTTGTGAGGCCCAATTGCCATGTTAAGGCTGGTCGTAGGTCGCACAAATAAAGGCCCTAATCCCTCATGGTGGTGTTGAGATGGTTCAGGAACCCTTCCTGAAACCAAACTGCTGAAATGAGCGGTAGGCTACACTTAGCTAACATGGCAACTTGGGCCATGGGCCGATCATAAGTATACAAATCAGGTTCGATGATCATAAGACCCAAAAACAAAAGCACAACCAAGGAACCACATCTTCAGCTGTGACCACCTCCTTCCGTTCGGATATATCAGAAGTTCCAGAAACCATGTCCATGATTAACTTGTCCAGCTCCTCCTGCAAAAGGTGTGGAACGTATCCTCCTGTAACCCGCCCTTTCTTGTCTAGCCCCAGCTTGCTTCTCCAGCTGTTGGGCGTGGCCACTATCCTGTTCTGAACCTGCGGTGGCAGATCTTCCCATCTCTCCCTTTGTGCTGCTTTGACCCACTTCAACACAATGGCCTTCCTCACCAGATCGGGAAACTTTTCTCGACACTTCTTTTCCAAATTGATTTTTTTCAATTCGGATTTGGATGATTCTTTTTTGGCTTCCTTCTTTTGATCCACTCTCCTGGGTCTGATTGAGCCACGACCAATAATCTTTTCAACCGGTTCAACGACAATTTCACCATGTGCATCTGACTTCTTCTTTCTGAGCTGCAAGTAGTATCGAACCACTTTGAGTTTGTCACCGATGGTAATGGTCCTACGGGCTTCTCCCAAGGGAACATCGAACTTGCCATCGTCCTTTGTCGGCCTCTTCTTCCTCGCCGCACATTTCCCGGTCTTCTTCGAGGCGGCAAGCTGGTTCTTTGCATGATATGCCTGGCGGCGTCTCTTCCTGGGCAGGCAGCTGGGCCACTCTGAGGCTCAGCGCGTTTGACTACAAAAAAACTAACATAGCAACTGGGTACATGAACATTGGGTATGGAAACGCAAACTCATCATGATTGTGATGCACAAGAATGGTTCCCGCATTGCCATGTTAACAACAACAAGGCTAAGGGAAATTGATCTTGGAACAATCATTGGATGTACCGGTAACTTTTCTGCGCCGAGCTTCAAGTCTTTGTCTTTGGTATCAGGGTCTAGCAATTTCGCTATTTTTTCTTCCGCTTTCTTTTGTGAATACTCTCCATGTGCGATGAGCTTTGCCTGGATAGTCTTTGCCCTTTCCAGTGAGCCTTCCAAGTCCTTTTTGCGCCCGTTGATCTGGGACACCAGACCAGCTACAACCATGAGCGCGTCTTCGAAGGGCAGCGCTGCAGATTCCAAGCTGGCAGGGCATGTGTCCTCGACCGTTTTGTCATTTCCAGTAAGTTCTAGGAGATAAGCATCCCAACCTTGACCTTCTTTCTTTTGCACCCGATCCTCACCTTTGGAAAAATGAGTCCAAATGGTTTTCCATGCGGTGGCTTCAATTGCTATGTTAGCAACTTTCTCTTGCAAAGTCTGCACCCTTTCAGAGTACCAATCCGTCTTCTCTTGGCTTCTCTTTCTTTTGAGGTCGATCTTCTGCTGCTGCTGCTGTGCTTGTGCTTCTCGTGTTGCAACTGCCTTCCTGAAAAGATTGGCTTGCGCTGCAGAAATGTCTTCCGCTGTCATGATTTGCCTTGAGTCTACAATGTGTAGCAAACCACCATTCAACGCCCCAAGCCTGCCGGTGCTAAAGAATGCTACTTCATGCGGTTCTGCTTGCGTTGTTTCTTCAGTGCTGATGTCAAGTACCTTGACCTGGACATTGGAATAGTCTTTTTCATCACTACCTAGAGGCAGCTTGGTCGGAACGACAAAAACTCTGACTCTGTGGCGGAGCTTGATGGTCACTGGGATTTGGTCCAGCACCTGGAGGCTGCAAACAGCATGACAACCTGGGAGATTTCCTAACGTAGAAACCACCCACTATATATGTACTGTATATATATAAAAGTAAAAATCCGACTGCCAAGTGAACTCTCCACTAACGTGACAAACCAAAATGACCAAAAACCATGCATACCGGTACATATTTTATTCCCATTGTTTTCGGAAGCTCCCACCTTCGTTACCTCACCGCTGAACGTATCAAAGATACAAATGGCAGCGCAGCCGTTGCTACGTAATTGCTTTCTCGCACATTGCCAGAAGAAACCAGTGTCTCCAATGGCATCACCCATGACCATGCTCTTGGCGCATGACCGTTCTTTCTTGTACATGGTCACTGTGTTCCCACCAAGAATTGCCATGTATGATGATGCTGCGGCTGCGTGATCTGCTAAAATCATGGCAAATTTCTTCAGGGCAATCCCGGGCATGACAAAGTCACAACCCAAGTACACCTCCTTAAAGGTAGGCTTTGCTTGGGAAGCAGTAGTAGCGCTCTCATCTGGCAGAAAGGCACTGACCAAATCACCTCGATCCTCTGGTGCAGATTCTTTCGAAGGAACTTCTTCCGGTGAATTTTTGGGTTCTGGGGCTGCACCCTGCTCGGCCGCATTCCCTGAGCCACTGCTCGAAGATGCAGCACTCGCTGGCCCAGCCACAGAAGGCGCTGGAACCTTTGCCTCAGAAGCCTTGCCAGCAACCCCAGCACTCTCTTGAGATTCTTTGCTTAAAACTTCGCTGCCTTTCATCAGCTTGGTCAATTTTGTCGCACCTTGGGTGCGAAGAACATAGGCATGAAACTGCTAACATAGCAATCGTGTGCTCACACAGAATGTTTCAAAACAAAACACGCCATTCGAATATCAACCACTGTAATCAGAGAGCAGGAAAGGATAGAAGCATACATTACTCAGGAACTAGGGAGAGTTGCTATGTTAGTTATGCACTGCTTGGCACAAACAAAACTACAAAAACAAAATCAACACACAATTGGGTTAACTAGGGCTATCACATAGGTCTCTGACGATCTTGTTCCGTATGTCATCTTTCCTCCGGATTTTCGCTGGTATCAAAACTGCTTCCTGCTGAGCAGTCTTCCGAAGTTCCCTGGTGCTCTGGGTCCACAGAGATGCTTCAAGTCGAACCCTTTCACGGTTGATATCCCAAACAATTCCGAAGAGTCTGAGGGGATGTCCTTCAAATTCCTAGGCGACCCCCGGCACTGACCAAGCAACAGCGGCATGTCAAAGCGAACTAATTCATGGGACATGCCTAGCAACAAGATAACTTCGAACCAGTGCCATGTTAAACAAACACAGCGTCCCCTGAAAACGAAACTATCCAGATAAGAAGCAGCACGGGCATCCTCAACAACAAAATCTTCTTGATCTCCCGGCATAGCCACCACATAGCCACCACTCCCTCGTGTCACCCAATCCAAGTGTAGCAGCTTCTCGTGTAGCTCTGGTGGGAGTGTCAATGCCGCAGTCTCATTTGTCTTTGAAGGATCCTACCGCAAAAACGCAAAGCATTGCTATGTTAAGGGTGGTCCGGTGGTCCAGGCACCACAAACACATGAATCTTGTAGTACCTAAGAAGGTGGTGGCGACAGACATCCAAGGATGTCTAGGCGATTGCTATGTTAGTACTTGTTTGGACCAAGTGAAGTGGTACACTGATCGAATCCATCTTACCTATCTTTATCCATCTTGATTTTTTAGGATTGCGGCAGCCAACCAAAACGATTCAAATTCAAAAGGACGGGCTGATTCAAGAATGAACTTTTGGGGCTGAATCCGAGATAGTCTAGTTTCACCTGTTTTTTTGCGGCTTGGTGTTCCATGAGGGAGCTAGCCGGGGCAACCCAGGCGCCAGCATTTATGTGATCACAATGATTGAGTTGAATCTGCACCCATTGCCATGTTAGGATACGTGTTGGATACCACGAGCCATGAGCAACCAGCACCCGCCACCAGTACCCCAATCTCCTTGCCACCATGTGGCGCCGATGACGTAGCGGGCTTTCCATCCTCCTCTTGGTGAGTGGCGGGCTGCTGGTTCCAAGGATGTCTGGGCGATTGCTATGTTAGTACTCGTTGGGACCAAGTGAAGTGGTACACTGATCGAATCCATCTTACCTATCTTTGCCCATCTTGATTTTTTAGGATTGCGGCAGCCAACCAAAACGATTCAAATTCAAAAGGACGGGCTGATTCAAAAATGAACTTTTGGGGCTGAATCCGAGATAGTCTAGTTTCACCTGTTTTTTGCGGCTTGGTGTTCCATGAGGGAGCTAGCCGGGGCAACCCAGGCGCCAGCATTTATGTGATCACAATGATTGAATTGAATCTGCACCCATTGCCATGTTAGGATACGTGTTGGATACCACGAGCCATGAGCAACCAGCACCCGCCACCAGTACCCCAATCTCCTTGCCACCATGTGGCGCCGATGACGTAGCGGGCTTCTTTCCATCCTCCTCTTGGTGAGTGGTGGGTTGCGGGTTCCAAGGATGTCTAGGCGATTGCTATGTTAGTACTTGTTTGGACCAAGTGAAGTGGTGAACCGATCGAATCCATCTTACCTATCTTTATCCATCTTGATTTTTTAGGATTGCGGCAGCCAACCAAAACGATTCAAATTCAAAAGGACAGGCTGATTCAAAAATGAACTTTTGGGGGTGAATCTGAGATAGTCTAGTTTCACCTGTTTTTTTGTGGCTTGGTGTTCCATGAGGTAGCTAGCCCGGCAACCCAGGCGCTAGCATCTATGTGATCACAATGATTGAGTTGAATCTGCACCCATTGCCATGTTAGGATACGTGTTGGATACCACGAGCCATGAGCAACCAGCACCCGCCACCAGTACCCCAATCTCCTTGCCACCATGTGGCGCCGATGACGTAGCGGGCTTCTTTCCATCCTCCTCTTGGTGAGTGGTGGGTTGCGGGTTCCAAGGATGTCTAGGCGATTGCTATGTTAGTACTCGTTTGGACCAGGTGAAGTGGTACACTGATCGAATCCATCTTACCTATCTTTGCCCATCTTAATTTTTTAGGATTGCGGCAGCCAACCAAAACGATTCAAATTCAAAAGGACGGGCTGATTCAAAAATGAACTTTTGGGGCTGAATCCGAGATAGTCTAGTTTCACCTGTTTTTTTTGTGGCTTGGTGTTCCATGAGGTAGCTAGCCGGGGCAACCCAGGCGCCATCATCTATGTGATCACAATGATTGCGTTGAATCTGCACCCATTGCCATGTTAGGATACGTGTTGGATACCACGAGCCATGAGCAACCAGCACCGGCCACCAGTACCCCAATCTCCTTGCCACCATGCGGCGCCGATGACGTAGCGGGCTTCTCATCCTGCTCCTGGTGAGTCGTGGGTTGCGGGTTCCAAGGATGTCTAGGCGATTGCTATGTTAGTACTTGTTTGGACCAGGTGAAGTGGTACACTGATCGAATCCATCTTACCTATCTTTATCCATCTTGATTTTTAAGGATTGCGGCAGCCAACCAAAACGATTCAAATTCAAAAGGACGGGCTGATTCAAAATTGAACTTTTGGGGCTGAATCCGAGATAGTCTAGTTTCACCTGTTTTTTGGTGGCTTGGTGTTCCATGAGGTAGCTAGCCGGGGCAACCCAGGCACCATCATCTATGTGATCACAATGATTGAGTTGAATCTGCACCCATTGCCATGTTAGGATACGTGTTGGATACCACGAGCCATGAGCAACCAGCACCCGCCACCAGTACCCCAATCTCCTTGCCACCATGTGGCGCCGATGACGTAGCGGGCTTTCCATCCTGCTCCTGGTGAGTGGTGGGTTGCGGGTTCCAAGGATGTCTAGGCGATTGCTATGTTAGTACTTGTTTGGACCAAGTGAAGTGGTACACTGATCGAATCCATCTTACCTATCTTTATCCATCTTGATTTTTTAGGATTGCGGCAGCCAACCAAAACGATTCAAATTCAAAAGGACGGGCTGATTCAAAAATGAACTTTTGGGGCTGAATCCGAGATAGTCTAGTTTCACCTGTTTTTTTGCGGCTTGGTGTTCCATGAGGTAGCTAGCCGGGGCAACCCAGGCGCCAGCATTTATGTGATCACAATGATTGAGTTGAATCTGCAGCCATTGCCATGTTAGGATACGTGTTGGATACTACGAGCCATGAGCAACCAGCACCCGCCACCAGTACCCCAATCTCCTTGCCACCATGTGGCGCCGATGACGTAGCGGGCTTCTTTCCATCCTGCTCCTGGTGAGTGGTGGGTTGCGGGTTCCAAGGATGTCTAGGCGATTGCTATGTTAGTACTCGTTTGAACCCAGTGAAGTGGTACACTGATCGAATCCATCTTACCTATCTTTATCCATCTTGATTTTTTAGGATTGCGGCAGCCAACCAAAACGATTCAAATTCAAAAGGACGGGCTGATTCAAAAATGAACTTTTGGGGCTGAATCCGAGATAGTCTAGTTTCACCTGTTTTTTGTGGCTTGGTGTTCCATGAGGTAGCTAGCCGGGGCAACCCAGGCGCCATCATCTATGTGATCACAATGATTGCGTTGAATCTGCACCCATTGCCATGTTAGGATACGTGTTGGATACCACGAGCCATGAGCAACCAGCACCCGCCACCAGTACCCCAATCTCCTTGCCACCATGTGGCGCCGATGACGTAGCGGGCTTCTTTCCATCCTCCTCTTGGTGAGTGGTGGGTTGCGGGTTCCAAGGATGTCTAGGCGATTGCTATGTTAGTACTTGTTTGGACCAAGTGAAGTGGTGAACCGATCGAATCCATCTTACCTATCTTTATCCATCTTGATTTTTTAGGATTGCGGCAGCCAACCAAAACGATTCAAATTCAAAAGGACAGGCTGATTCAAAAATGAACTTTTGGGGGTGAATCTGAGATAGTCTAGTTTCACCTGTTTTTTTGTGGCTTGGTGTTCCATGAGGTAGCTAGCCCGGCAACCCAGGCGCTAGCATCTATGTGATCACAATGATTGAGTTGAATCTGCACCCATTGCCATGTTAGGATACGTGTTGGATACCACGAGCCATGAGCAACCAGCACCCGCCACCAGTACCCCACACCAGTACCCCAATCTCCTTGCCACCATGTGGCGCCGATGACGTAGCGGGCTTCTTTCCATCCTCCTCTTGGTGAGTGGTGGGTTGCGGGTGCCAAGGATGTCTAGGCGATTGCTATGTTAGTACTCGTTGGGACCAAGTGAAGTGGTACACTGATCGAATCCATCTTACCTATCTTTATCCATCTTGATTTTTTAGGATTGCGGCAGCCAACCAAAACGATTCAAATTCAAAAGGACGGGCTGATTCAAAAATGAACTTTTGGGGCTGAATCCGAGATAGTCTAGTTTCACCTGTTTTTTTGCGGCTTGGTGTTCCATGAGGTAGCTAGCCGGGGCAACCCAGGCGCCAGCATTTATGTGATCACAATGATTGAGTTGAATCTGCACCCATTGCCATGTTAGGATACGTGTTGGATACCACGAGCCATGAGCAACCAGCACCCGCCACCAGTACCCCAAAACCACTGCTGCGATTGCGGCGGGATATCAGCCTGGCTGAGATTCTCGAAGCTGCTCAGCTCTTTTTCGAGATTGTTCCAGCTATCGGTGGCCTGTCGGCTTCATGTATGGGAAGGTGAGCACTAAGTTAGGATAGCGCCCAAAAGGGAGCGCCTGATGGAACAAGAAATCAACTGCACATGTACATC